CCCCCCCTCCCTTTTTGAACACCCCACCTCTGTTCATTCACAAGATTAGACTATTTCGGCACTTGCGTTTCGTTCGAAAGTATCTGGCTTTTCCGATACGTTGGTCATGCATGAGTTGAACCTTGGGAGGAGATATAATCATAGTATTGAATGATGCTAGGAACGGATTGGAGTTTTCGCGATACGTTTGCACTGGCATGGGAAACCGTCCGAATCGCCTTCGCAGGCCGTGGCAACATTTGCAGAAATTTCCGTCAGTTTCGTGTTTGTGTTGGTGGCGGCGACGAAAAGGGTCTGGTCTCGTAAGCAGGAAGAACCCAGGATCTGGTCAATTAGCGGCACTTCTACATTAATTGATATTCTTGCCACTCACCGAGAAATTGAATCGGCAAGCACGCTGTTCCTCATTACGAGAAAGTTTCTTCGGAGCGAAACGAAGTAAAGACAGAAGGAAGATGTGTCGTGCAATCATCTTCTTCCTGCGATCGTTTCCTTCGTGTCTCTGCTTCCAATAAAAAAATTGAGAAGCAACTTCAAAGTTTTTTCTTTCTGTTTTCTCTCTGTGGAAAAACGAAGAGAATGCGGGGGGTCTACCAAGAGCATATTTCGCGGCCCTGTTAGGTCCTTTGAGGATTTGCTTTTGCCAGCTTATTCTTAGGACTGTCACAGGAGGAAGGCCTCTATTTAGACTGCCGTCGATCAGTTCCAGCTGGGAATCCATAGGCGTCCGTATGGTATCCTAGGGAGACGAGAAAATCTTCTCTCCCCGGACCTCGAGATTTTTTTCCTCGATCCCCAAGATTTCTGTCGTGTTTCCGCACGACGACAGATTCCGTCGAGGCGGATATCCCCACCGATTTGCAGACGAGATGACGAGTGCAGAAAATGCACTTTGGCAACCCGAGATTCGCTGTGGTCCGATCCCCGTTTTCACTTCCCGTATGTCCCGGAAAAATGGCTCAAATATGCTGCCCTCCAAAAGTCTTGTGACACTTTTTCGTGATCGAAATTCTCAGCACCTTTAACATCATCGGCGAAAATGTTTATATCCTCAGACAGCTTAATCTGTTACCTTTGTAAAGTGCCCATTCATGTCACGATTTGTGCCATCGTTTGTCCGAAATTCGCCTCAGAATCCGTCTGGCTCGGTTTTTCAGCATGGAACAATGACAATCCGTCCCCAACTGATCGTTGGAAAGCTTACTTCTCATCTTGCTCGTCATGGGAGAAGCATGTTTTCTCTGTGCACCTTAAAGAAAAAACTCTTGTCAGTGCCCTCCAAAACTCTTGCCAGCTTTTTCGTGATACAAAATCTCGGTACCTACTCTCGGTTACTACTCGGTTTGCAGGTAACGACTAATAGTCCAACTCACAACTGAGAAATTGATGCCAAGATGCCGAAAAATGGCCCGAAAGGACCAGGCAGCTTCGAAACGAAGGGAAACGATTCTCCAGTGTTCTAAGACACAATGTTTACTCCATGAGCTTGCCAGGAATAGGAATGGGGACGGGGTGATGTTTCCATTATTGTTCCAGGCGGGAATTCCGAACCAGATTGTTTCCACGAAAGTGTTGGGGGTATGGTAGCTCAAACCCTGATGGTAATGGCCTCCTTGCTAAGAGAAGTTATCCAAAGACAATTTTTTTCCCACTGATGCCATAGGTACCGAGATTTCTTATCGTGAAAAAATCGGCAAGAGTTTTGGAGGACACTGACAGGAGTCTTTTCTTTCAGGTGCATAGAGAAAACATGCTTCTCGCATGACGACGTTCTACTCTTCATTCGAAAGGTTGCTAGTCAACCCCTGCCTAACAGTAACAAGGTGCGACTTTTTGGCTCGGTCTGCCTAAGACTCCGCTTAAAGCCTGTTTGCTACCGTGTTTAGCACTGTACTATGGGCGCTTTGCAAAATTAACAGATTAAGATGTCTGAGTATATTAAAATTTTCGCAGATGATGCTATAGGTGCTGAGAATTTCGATCACGAAAAAGTGTTGCAAAACCTTTGGAAGGCATTATATTTTCGCTTATTTTTGATCTTGATGGTGCCGTGTACGAGTCCCTCTCGAGACTTCGGTCTCTCCTCGTGCGAGGGACACATTTCCTCTTGTATTGACTTTCGTATGGATGTAGCGCGTTCCCGCGTTTCGACGACGATGTCACGAACTAGGCCACAGGCCATCACGTGAACGACTCGCATTGGCACTACTTTCTTCCTGTGGATCCTTTTCCTGAGTTTGGAAGACGCCGGGGAATCGGTCTCGTTTGGCTTCCCTTCCGGCTTCGCCACCTGGCCGCAGATCTCGTTGGCCTCATTTTCCTCTTCGTCCTGGATCCAGATTTTCGGGCCACGATCGAAAGGGAAACTCGTAACTCCTTCGCAGTCCCGTTATTCCCTGGATTCCTCCCTTTCTCGTCTTCCTGGATCGCTCCACAAAATGGCGCTGCACCCCTTCAACTTGATGCCTTCGCGCCCCATTTGTTTAGCACAGGACGTGACTCCGGAGGAATCGCTAAGCCAATTCCACCGGATCGTTTCCCCGTTTAAACACGTCGTCGGGCCAGGAACGAGTGATCTATGGGCCGAGGACTACGCAAATCCCCTCGTTTGTTTTTTGCCTATGGAAATACGTCACGATTCTTGTCATCGCCCTGTTTTTCCTTTTTCATCACGCAAGATTTCTCTACGGCAAGAAAATGATTGCTGTACGTCCACGCCGATCTCAACCTGGGCTGTTCACCCTATGTATCTGAAACCGATCTCAGAAATGTTCATGGCTGCATTCCTCCCACCCCCTTCGCTAGTGGGCCCATTCAGTTGTGACCCGAGTCATGATTCGAGGGTCTCAGTTCAACGATTGCATTAAGGCTTCAAAATAAATGTTACTCCATGGTGACACCTCTTGTCAATGTCATCAATTCTGGGTATAATAGTTTTTGAAAAGCTCCGCACCTGCCGAGAATCATGAACCTCGAGTCATGACCCGGATCATAACTGAATGCGCCCAGTATGATGTACAGTATATGACTCCATTCCACACCCATTCGTGACATTGAACTGCGGCTCGCCGTACAGGCACAGCCATCTGGTGGCCGAAGAAACACGAGTGACGCGATCCTCTGTCTTCTGTTCTCTTCGTACAGTCACGGGGACGATCGAAGGAGAGGGAGAAGGAGGAGAGGAGGAGAGGAGGGAGAAGGAAGTTCAGGAAAATTCAGCAAAATCTGCGTCCCTCCATCCAGGGAGGCAAGGGTGCGTCATGACCTCCTCGCCGACCCGGTATCCCTCTAATAAGCTTCTGCAGGAGCTTCGGGACGCCTTCGTCTACGCCTACGGAGCCTACCTTCTCACCTCCTCCAATCCCCACCTCGTGAGTCCATTCAAGGATAATCCTACTACCCGTACTTACTGCATACTGTTCCTGTGGGAGGACGAGAAAATTGGTTAATTTTTTCTGCGCACTCGAGTCACAGGATTTTCAATAAGTACCCAATTTCTTCTTATATCCCCAACGATAGACCCTCAGGGTTAAACAACAGAAAGAAACTTAGACATCCTATACACGATAAATGAAACCGGAACTTAATGTGGTTTGGCTGCAGATGCCCGTAGGACGGGAGTGCGAGAATAGCCTGGCTTACCTCACGGGGTTCGAAGGGGAAGGTGTAGCCATCATAACTAAGTCGAGAGCGGCCCTTTGGGTCAACCCGGATGACCTTCACCAAGCGGATCGCATTCTCGACTGCGCCTGGTCTATCTACCTCCTCTCAGGTGTCAGTACTCCAAATGATCCTGTCCCGAACAGAATATGATTGTCCACTGGCGGTTTTTTTCTCTCCTTTTCATCTCGCCTGCTTTCCTCAGAATTTTAGCGTTCAGGAGTTCTTGAAAAGTGAGTTCCCCGAGGAGCTGGTAGGGACATCAGATAGTGGTCAGATCCTGGTTGGTGGGGACTCAGCCCTCGTCTCGTCCAAAATGTGGCTTTCTTGGAGGAATGACCTGGAGGTTCGATCCATTTACCTCACGTCGATCAACGTGAATCTTGTGGATCGGATGCGGGAAAAGAAACCAGAGTGTCCACACCACCCCATTTCCGTCGCTCATCCCTCGGTGATAGGTAAATTCACCGGGGACGTTATTCGAAAGTTCCTCGAGTCGGGTTGTAGTGTAATCGCGAATGTCTTTTCGTCTACGTAGACGAAGGGTGGAGGGCGAAGGTTAAAGAGGTTCGCCGGAGACTCAGGATGATGGGCGGAGAGGGACTAGGGATGCTGGGAACGAGCCTGGATGAGACAGCCTTCCTCTTTGACCTACGAGGAGCCGACTTCCCTTATCAACCTCTCTTCCCCTCCTTTCTCTACCTCAATGCCTCTTCCATCATCCTCTTCTTAGACGAGGTGGGTCGGACAGGGCTTCTGCCTCTCTCACGCAGCCATATCATCCTCTTTTCGCGTCTTTGTAGAAGAATGTGACAAAGGAAGTGAAGAAGCACCTGGGAGCGAAGAAGAAGTGTGGGTCGGGTGAGGATTGTTTCCTCCTTCAACCCTATGAGACCTTCCATGAGTGGCTCAAAGACTTATCTCTCCCAACGTAAGTCATACGCTTGCGGTTTCATAGTTTAGATCTTTCTGAAACGAAAGGCGTAACCTCTGGAATTTAATTTTTTGCATTAGGGACGGGAAGCTGTTGTTGCCGGAGGGCATTTCCTACTACATCCACGAAACCGTAAGAAAGGCAAAGCTATTATATGGGGAATGAATGTTTTCTTCACGATGAGGAAGTGGAAATAGACCTGTGAACTTTTGGCAGCTGGAGAGAACTTTAGCGGAGAAGTTGGTGATGGGAGAATCTCCGATGCTGAAGATGAAGTTCCGGTTCGGTTCAAGTGCTTCCCTGGCCTCAAAAAGAGCCCATTTAAGGGATTCTCAAGCCCTCGTCCGGTTCCTCGCTGAGATCCACCGATTACGGGTCCGTGACAGGGTTCAACGGTGATGTCCCCTGGTTGAAACCTTAAGAGAGTCTGCCAGACGTGGAATTTGTCCGGTTGCAGGTGGAGGGAGAGATGGAACGCTCGACGGAGACGAAGCTGAAGGCCCTTCTGGTCAGTCTCAGGCAAGAGGGAGGGAAGGAGATCCTCATGAATGAGAGCATCCCCACGGTCTCTTCGTTTGGACCTTCCTCCATCCTTTATCACACAGAATCTGGAGCCATCTACAATGGTAAGTCTTCTTTCTCTTTCTTCTCCTCCAGTAGTGGCGTCCTGCAACAGAATATAAATGTGGAAACCGAAACAACCCTTGAACCTTGGTGTCTCGATCACAACGTGATCATCAACGTGATCAACACATGGTCATCGGCCCCGAACATGAAGTCTTCGCCCTGTCTGCTGTCTCGATCATGCGCTTCATCGAGTTTGTGACTTTCATAGGATCGGCATCCGATGGCATCGTAGTTCCAAGAGCTGATCGTTTCGGAGAGTCATGCTGCTGGATTCACGCGCATGCTCCATTAGATCGCTGAAGTAGTCCGTTAGTGCTATATCAGCATGCTCTCAACCCCTTCAATGTTTAGATTTGAAATATCCTTCTCTAATCTCGACATTGACTCAATGCCAAGATTAGAAAGGCATTGAGAGAGAGAGGCATCCCGCTCTCGCAAAAAAAGACAGGGAATAGAGTGATTGCAGCTATTGAGAAGATGGCTGATAATCATTCTACGAATTCTTCCCACGCCACCCGAAGAACGAGGGTAGAAATTTCTCTTTCAGGTTGAGGGAAAGCGGGAGGGTCCCCATGGAGTAACATCACCACGTGAACTTTCTTCTCTCCATCCTCTATGCGTTTCTGAATTACCTTGGGTTTCGTTGGGTTGGGTTGCCACTTTCGTCGAATGTATCCAGGAATTCAAATACCTTCCCCGGTGTCGTTTGTGGAGAAAATTGTAAGTACCGTTCCAAAAATACTGGAGACGCGTGCCGGTTGCATACATGAGGTAACTACCTATGTTGGCGATTTATCGCCATCTCATTTCGGGGTCCGGAACCTTTTATGTCCGAAAAGCTGTCAGTTGTCTTGCCCGACAACTGTTGATGTAACGATGACAGGACTATGCTCTCACAATATTGGTATTTTCAATATCGAGTCTTTTTTTAAATTTGTATTGTATCTTCTGCATCAACATCGTCGGCAGCTTATCAACATTGAATCATATTGTTGGACAGACTGGGGTGACACCTTCCCAAGCAAATTCAGTGTTTCAAAGGTTGCAAGCTTACGCCAAAACCGGAGTCAAAGGACTAGATCATTGTTTGCTTGAAATTTTTGCGCCGCCGGAATAATGGAAATATTCACTATCCATTCCAAAAGTCACGGAAGGGTCCGTCTGAGATCAAATACAAACGGTGATATACAGGGGGGGGGGGGCAGGGTAAACATGATAAATTAAACGGACAATGATACTGGGGAGGGGATTCATTTTAGAGGATCTCATCATCGGAAGAATATATTATTTCGTGATCATCTCCATAACTTGGTAGTCTGAAGCTGTGATCCATGGCTGCGGGTTCTCGTTTCACATCATAGCTGTGAAGTGGAATGAGAGTTGAATATGTTGGGTGAATGCCTACCATGCAAGCCACCTCGCGAAAGGGCCGCCTCTTCAAAGGTACGAGGGGGTATCGAAAAGGAAAGAGACGAACGTCTTTATTTTATATAAGTGATGCATAGGAATGAATTTATCCACGATTTCTTTCCTGCATGATCTCTCCTTACTACCCTGCACTTTTCCGGAGATGTTACCAGCTTCCTTACGTCGGTTGCAAAGATTCCTTTAGGCGTAGCATACAGAAGTAGCAGACGCTGCCTCGAGAAACGCCGCCCTCGAAGGACACGTGTCGACAGTTCGCATTTTGCTGCGAATAGCAGGTTTCGATTCTTCGACCGGAATTTCACGGTGAGACGCACTTGTCGCAGTGGTGCTAAACGTGCACTACGATCGAGCGACTCCAGTCCCGAAGAACCGTTGCCATCACATTGCTCCCCGAGCGTCCGGTTGGGCCTGGCGTGTTCGATTCCGACCACCCTCACCGCTGGATGCGTGAATTGCAGCGAAACGGAGTAGAATAATGAGAGATATAATAGGGGACTACACTGCATTCCTTAGTCTGCGGCACGGACGGTTGTAGCCGTTGGTCCATTCTGAATACCCGCGAGTACTTTTTCGCGGCAGCGATACCATCCTCCCTCGTAGATTCCCTCGGCAAACGGAGGTTCCTGCACGAATCGACGTGAAGTCTGAGTGAAGGAATCCAACGGCGACTTCCCGGACAAAGACGTTCGAGGAAACCGATATACTGTTTCCTTCTTCACAAATGACAGGAGAGGTCGACCGTTATCTGAATTCGTTCCGTGCGTGCGCGAGCTCCGAATCGTGCTTCGCGCCTGGCGATACTCATACGATCCAAGAAGGATTGGCATGCCGACCCCGTGTGATCGCTCCGTTCTGGTAACGAAGGGGACCAGAGGCGGGAAATTCATTCCAACGTAAGTCGTTATGTCGTGTCGACCACTGATCGAAAAGGTCAACCGGATCGACAATACACAGGCTGAGAGCTTGTACCAAGAAGAATCCTCAGAGATCACCACATTCCATTAGAGATTCGTTTCAATCATATTCCTCCACTTTTTAGTTAAAGAGGTGATTATTTTAATCTTAGGATTTCTGTTTGTGAAAAAAACGATGCGATAATATTGCCACTTACCTTCATTCATCTCTACTATCCGATCATCTTCCGTGTTGTTCTCGGAGGATTTTGAGGACATTCTGCCTGTGTTCAACTGCGCTCTTAGAAAACGGAATGACGTAATCTATAGGATTGTGAAAGGTGAGAAATCTCACGCGAGTAGTTTCGCTGTTCAAATGGGAAGTGAATCCTAAAGTGTTTTTTTTTTTTACTATTAGACCTCTGACAGCAGATGGTGTTATGTTTAACGCTAGTCCGTTCTCGAGTGGAATAAGCAATGATAAGGAACGAATAGATCACCAGTTATTATTGGAAGAATAGATAAAAGTTTCTATTTAAAAAAGTCTATTGGCGAAACAAAGAGAAAGGAGAGGCAACAGAACGTATCGGTCAAAATAAGCTTCATTAGTGCCCTATCAGCAAATAGAAGTGCAAATACATACACAGTAATGGTCTATTTGGGGTTTTGGAGAACAAGTAGCATTTAAGTAGCCCATTTGGCGCGGGCTACCCTGCCAAGTTCCTGTGAGCATACATACGCCGAATATAACATGGGCTGGGAATAAGCAACGGGGGTGTTACCAACCAGCTGTCTCATGCTGTCAAGAGGCGCTCAACTTCTTAGTTCCCCCCCCCCCCCCTCCCCGAATGTAATTGAATTCAATCACCTTTTTTTTTCCTGTCATCCTCATTCCAGACGGGGTGACGAAGGTGTCCCGGACGGTAGCTTGGAATGGGAAGGAGAACAAAGAAATAAAAGAAATTAAAGAACTTTATACCAGGGTCCTGAAGGCCCACATTCGCCTCGCCACTGCCGTCTTCCCCTTCGTAAGACCAAACCTCCAAAGGTCGCTTTTTCCTTCTCTTCCGATTTTCTCATTCTTCCTTGCGATCCTGAAGGGAACGAGAGACACGGAGTTGGATTTCCTGGCGAGATCAGAGGTGACCCGAGTCGGTTTGGATTACCCACACGCTTCCGCTCATTCAATCGGAACCATTTCCGCCTATCAAGGTATCCTCTTGTCTTTCTTTAACTGGAGTTAAAGAAAGCCAGTCATCTGACGCGGGGAATATTTTAATTTCAGATACGATTAGAATCAGTCGAATGAATCCAAATCCCCAGGAGATCATGGAGGGTCAAGTCATCCACATCAGTGAGTTTTCCCCGGTCGAGCAACGAGATCGATAAATATTGTTTTTGCGGGAATTTCTTTTTTTTTTCTTCCTCATCGTTCAGATCCTGGTGCTTATGTGGAGGGGCGATTAGGTGCAAGACTGGGCAGCGATTACATCGTCGTGCTAAAAGATACTCTGGTGCTCAAAATTTTACTTTTTTTCCCTGATAAATGCTGGGTATGTCAGCTGTGATGATTTTTGAGAGGGAAAGGAAAATATTTCTTTTCTGCAGTTTGGTAAAAAGAGCCTGGGATTCGAGCCATTGATGCTGGTGCCCTTCGACCGTGAGCTCATCCTCCCTCACCTTCTCTCACACGACGAGGCAAGTCCACTTTCAGTGCGTCTCGTATCATCGTGACGTGAGCGAGTTTCAATATGGAGTGGATTGGCACAGGTGAAATGGTTGAACGAGTACCACGAGCGGATTTCCAAGGAGATGGGTCGGAAAATGACGGGGAAATTTTCCGACTGGCTGACCTATGCCACTGCCCCCATAGGGATCCCATCTTCGTCTTCGTCTAGGTCTTCGTCTCAGTCTCCGTCTTCATCCGGCATATTTCCTCCAAACTTCTTCCTTCTGACTCTCGTTGTTGTCCTGATCCCGTCCTGATGCTTCTGACACATGACTTCCTCCGACACTGCCGTGCTAATCTCGAACATAGGCTAGTTGTAACTCAGTGGAAAGTAAATGTAAGATTGAACGGATGTCACGTCAGTGGTGCTCAGAGGCGTGTCCGTGGCGAGAGTGTCTGTGAATTATATTTTTTTTTTAAATAAGAGCATGATTTCAGCTCTAAATGTACACTATGAGAGTGAGTTGCTTAGAAACGACCGATCGGCATTTATGAATCTCGCCGTAATGAGCGTAGGCGTAAGTGCTCGATCGTGTCGAGTGACTGCTGACTGATCTTGAATAAAAGGATTCTGCAGAACAAAACGAGGATTTACTGAGGCATGGGAATATGCGAGGCATTCCTTGGCGTCGAGCGGCGTGCAGATGGATAATTTTCCCAGGGTCTATCCCTACTTCTGCGCCCGATTGGTTTTCTGGATCTGAGAATCTCCTTCGCGGACTTGGGATCGAGTGAAACCTTCACAAGGCCACAACTCGAACCAGACAACACCTGCGGAAAGTCTCTCAGCCTTTCGTGCCGTCTCGCCGTTGCCATTCCAGGTCGTGTGGACTAGTACTGCACACTCAGGTGAAGTGCACCGCTCGCCTCCGACTCGCAAGACCAATGACTAATGAACTACGTGGTGAAATGACAGATCCCACGCTCGGCCTTCAGGGAAAAGAAGGGGATCGCATCCATTAGAGTTTGTAGAACCTCGTTGCTGGGACGGGAACGAAGGGACCCAGATTGCGTGATGTGAATCATGTGAAAAATATGCCCCACCCATTCGTTCTCGGTTGGAGTCGTAGGGCGGAATGACTCATTCTTCATTTTCGAGTCTTCCATGACGCTAAATCGCACCCTTTCATGGATTTCGTACTAATTCGTTGCTCCTAATGTTTTGGCTATTAACAGTGCAGTAAACCTCTATCTGTGAGATTGACCGAAGAAAGAACCGGAAATTTCACAACACATTTAAAAGAACAGAATTTGTTTCACTTCGCTCCTGAGTTCTTACTAAGTGGAACAATAAATCGTGAGTCTTAGAAGTTTTCTTTTTCCTTCTTTCTAAGGAAGATATGCAAGAAAATGCTAGTCGCTTCTATGCTTGGGAGGTTGCTTGCACAAGTTCCAAATGTAGGGCTCATCAAAGCCATCCATCGTATAACATTGAATTTGAATTCCACTTTTGTCGAAGAAGTGGTCCTTTTCCTGGACTTCATCATCTTAGCAAATTCATATTTAGAGGAAAAGAGCGTAATGTGCATCTTCCACTAGACGGTAACCAGATGTTAACAATGTGCCAAGAGCAAAGTAAACTACTCAGAGCAAGGGGGTATGAATTACACAGCTAACTCTTTCTTGCTGATGCTGTTGGAAAAATTTAAACTCCTACAAGCTTCATACCCTCTACAAGCTTTCTTCGAAATCATTTACAAATTATGCAAATATCGCTTCACAGTCGAAATTTTGACCTTATTCCTANGTATGAATTACACAGCTAACTCTTTCTTGCTGATGCTGTTGGAAAAATTTAAACTCCTACAAGCTTCATACCCTCTACAAGCTTTCTTCGAAATCATTTACAAATTATGCAAATATCGCTTCACAGTCGAAATTTTGACCTTATTCCTACAGCTGCAAGATCAAGGAATAGTAAACTAAATAGCTTAAAAGCTATCATCATCAGAGCGAGAGAAAAACACGAAACTAGTGACTGAAGTGCCGCACCCATGTTACCTCATTTTCTTCGATCGCGCTTGGAGTAGTACATATTTATTTCGATTGATGGCAAGCTCTGTTAATTTGGAAAAACTACCAATCCACTTTTTCCCGGTTTCCCCTTCCCCATTCTGCTGCTACAAGCAATCCTCCCGTTCCCTTCGAGTGAATTCCGCTAGCTCATATTCTGCTACGAGTACCAGAAGGGATGCCGAGCTCCTCGCCTTTTCGTTCGTGGTCTTGTTCCCGTTACCGTCCTGATCCTACATCATGATCCTGCAAACTTGATTTAGGGGGAAGGCGACAGTTCACTTAACCATTCATGCCACGATAGCCCTTTATTCGTCTCCGTCATTTCGTTCTCACATTAACAGTCACTGTAGCTTTACCGTTGAACATTTACGAACAAATGTCATTGCCCGCATTCAGTGTTCTTCATTGCTCGACTTCCCACAGTTTCTGAGATTTCACACATCAAATGAAAGGGTGAAATTAAACTTACCAATTCCGCTTAGATTCTGCACCAGAAGAAAACGACGAACACTTAATTTTATGTTGGGACCTTATATAGAAGCAAATTAATTTTTATTAGATTAAATTTGCTGACCCCTTTGTAAAATGTAGTTTCCAAAAAGCTGAGTTTAGACACTTTTTAAGTTTGCAAAGGTAGGGGAGTAAATATTCCTTGGTCTTCATAATTTATTTTCTTCCAGACAATTCATCGAGAAAAGGAACTCAAAGCTTGTGAGAAAAAAAGTTTGAAGTCCGATCTAGCTCATGTGCGTCGATGTCTCATTTCCTCCTTTTTGGAGCAACAGGAAGTAAGGTTATAGTTGGTGGGCAATAATTTCTTAGTCTTTTGGGAGAATCGGCGATATTTTCGGAACCGTGGTCCATCCTTACACTCCCCAACCCATCACTACAAGAAAAATCAAATTTGTTTGCAAACCCGCCTAATAGAAAACCTTTTCCCAATGGCAAGGTTACTACATTATTCCAGCCAGCAATGGATATGTGGCGACCTACGAGAGAACGAAGGGCCTGCACCGTGGATGCATTTTTTTTTAATGCAACATATTCACAATGTGCACATAAAAACTGTGAGTAAAATACACCAAACGCTGTCTTTGGTCCCTGGAATTTGAAGCTTTCACATAATCAAGAGACATGAGCTGGTAGGCTCTAGGCACTAGAACCTTTTAGATTGCAGAAAAACGCAGTTCCAAAGCTCTCTTTACTATAAGAAGATAGTGGACTTTTGTGAGTCACGTAAACGAAAATGGAGTCGAGTCATTCATATGGCTGTCATCCGCTTGCCCGTACAAGGTGACTAGTTCATAGGCCAGCTCCAGCTCAAAGTGAGCATGAAAGTGAAGTGTATTTTCTATCCCATTTCGACGAACATAGTATCATTCGGTGGTGAAGTTCGAGCGTAAATTCAGGACGCCAAGGGGGTGGGAACTGTCCAGGATAATCGCATTCGTTTCCAAAGAGAACTGCGACCTTTTCTTGCACAAAAGTTTATTCCTGGCCAATTTGGAAGCGAGGAGAAAAAAATAGAGAATAATTTCCAGGGCAAAGGTTTTCTCTCACGCAACTTCTCTCAAACGGAGAAAATGAGTTAAAGCTCCTTTCTTCCAACTGTTTCTCCCAAAGTGTCATTTACATTCTGGAAGCCTACCAGGCTGAAAGTAAATCTGAAACCAAATAATCACAGCCCTAGAGAAGCTATCCGCTGCAAAAAAAAAAGTATTCATGCCTGAAACGACTGGAATTTGTGCTACCCTAGGGGACTGAACGGAATGGTAATGGATGCCAAACTTTTACTCAAGCTCGAGGGTCATAACCCAAGGGTCAATGGTTATGGCCCCCGATCAAGCTGGTATTTTCAAAGATATCGCTAAATAAACTGAAAAACACTTCTGAGCCTCCGACGAACAGAACGAGAATTAGAAAATGGAATGTGAGAGACACGTCAGGTAGGCAAAAGACAAAAACATAAGTGCCATGCCATGTGGGTTGAGTGCAGGGCATCCAGAGTCCGTCGTTGGGGAGCAACGTGCTTCCAACTCCTTCCTTCAATTTTGTTCTGCAAACAAAATCGCTCGTTAGCAAAGTCTTCCCAATACTTCATGGAAAGAAAGCTCTGAAATCTCCTGATGCACACTTGCAAAACAACGAATAACATTTTCAGCAACGATTCTTTAAAATAAAGTTGGTCTATTTCGAGGGCAAAAACAACATACGAGCCATTCCATCCACCATTGATGGAATCCTTCTGGGGGGGAGGGAGTAGTTTGGGTTGGTATCGAATCATCGAAAATCATGTCGACGAATGGACATTTTGTCGAAATTCAGTTGAGCGAACGCGACCATGCATCGAAGGATTCATTCATTGAAGTGTCTGGAGATCGAAAGGTTTAGATCACCGAAGGCTTACAAAGCCGAAAAAATACTGGTTTATTTTCTTCGTTTTGGCCGTCTTGATTCATGTGTCTAGTCAGTTGTGCCCTGGCTACTGCCTAGTTACATTCCGATGTGCGTTGCACATTCGAATCATGTTAGAAGTGATCAAGTCTCCACAAGGCCAGGATAAGTTTGTGATACATTCCCGATGGAACAAAGTGGGGCACAGAAAAATCATTGAGCCTTATAAAGTATGAACGCGCTAGGATTTTGATTTTTACGTTAACCCAATAATTCTATGTCTGTAAGGCATTTGGCTCCTAGCTGTATCCAATTTTTTATTTCCGTAGAGTCTTTGTTCGCTTCTTGTCAGGCCTATGTCAAACGTTGAGCAGGAGCTTAAATAAACTCCAAGAGTCTCCAGAGGCTACCAAGTTACAAAGTGAACCTGTGATAGTAATATTCTTCAGGGACAATTACTCATAGGCGCTTCGTGGAAAGAAATACTGTATATACACGGGTCCTGGTTGCCGGCATATGGCCGTGATACAGATAGACCAAAGATATGGTGAAGTTCCCTTCTGCAGAGTACTTACAGCACGGTCCATCTAGGCCCATCCAAAAATGTCTTTTTTGAGGGGGTTTTCCTCTAATGTTTCTTTTTTTTTTTAAATGCAACATACCTGTGTCTTTCATATTTGATTATTCGACCTTTGACGTTTACGATGAAACCCATGATTCCAAAATTGCTCTTTTTCCTACATTTTGATGTTTCGACGAAAATCAATTGTCATCGAAAAGATTTTGCTTCGGCGAAATGTCATTTCGACAAATTTATTCGATATCTGGAGTTTCGTCCATTTGATAAATCGGCCTTTCGAGTTTTCGACGATGCTACTTTCGATGAATCGGTGTTCGATATTTTGATACGCTCCCAGTAGTTTGAGCACCCAGAGTCAATGATCTTGAAGGAAGCCCTTGGGGTGGGATTTATCCTTACCCTCCAACCCCACTCAATCTGGGGACATTCAATATCTCCTTTTTACTGTTATAATTTCCTCTGTTTCGTCCTTTTTTCGGGGGGGAGTCAATGGACCTCTTGGCTACACCAGGGGTGGTGTTTTATCGAGTCAAGCTTGAAGTTGGTGCATGGTTTCCTGAGAATGCATGCTAATCGGTAGCCCGATCGAGACCGATCGGACCCCTTCGAAAATACTGCTTAGAAGGTAAAACTAGAACATGAACTGAGAAGGTGAGACATGGTATAGCGAGGGGAAACCTCTTGCACATCGTGCTGCGTTAAGGTCAAAGGCGCTATCGTTCTTTTGATCAGCGCCTTGGTGCCAATATTTCGTGCAAGCTGTGACAATGGGGATCGTCCTCGCCTGTAGCACATCTACACCACTTTTACGTTCCCACTTTCAATTCACTGTTTCTTTTCTCTCCAATTGATTGCCCTAATTGATCTAACTGGCCATAGGTGACTTGGAAGGGAAAAAAAAAGGCTTGAGTCAACAGGCTTAGGTGGTGGTGGCCTTTAAGATGGATGGGGCGAGCGCCCAACAGGAAAGGGATTGCTCTTGACTTACGACCTTTTCCTCCCATATTATATCGAGTGGTGCAAAAAAAAAAGCGTTCTATATTACGCCTCACGAATCCGACGATGGAAATCTTTGGTTCTTATTTTAAAAAAATTCAAATCAAGTTTGAAACACTGCAAAATTTGTTTCCTGGAAGTTTCAAGTGTCAAGGTCGTTCGGATTAAAAAAAAAAGAAGCAAGTCATTCAAAGTGCAGTCATAAAATTAATTTTTTTTCTCCGAACTAGGTAGTTTCAGTCTCAGCATTGCTCGAAAGACTTCTCTCCTTTGAGGATATAAAAGCTGTACTAATACTGTTTCTTCGTCAAAGTATTCATTGTGTGGGTATAGAGGCCTCACGCGAGAAGCTAAGGCCTGAATTAGACGGTAAAGACTGGACAGAGGGCTGGAGGGGGCAGAGAATTGTGAGAGTTCTTATCAAATCGATGATTTTATGTTGAGTCTCTTCCCTCTCCAGTTCTATTAAAAACACCCTTATAATGCAGTGACACGAAGTGCACACTAATAACATTGCAATATGAATGCAACCATAAGAAGCAGGCTTTTTGGTGACGAGTAGGACACATCTGTAGAGCACTGTAGAGCGCTGTCTCCCGAAACGAGGAGAAGTGGAGTATTCTAATCGAAGTTTCAGCGACTGTTAACTGTTCGTCCAAGCAACCTGGAGACTTCAATACTTTCACGCAAAAAATTTAGAAAGTTTTGTGTGACAATAAAATCGACAAATCTAGAGTATCTAGAGCAGGTTTTATAAGATCTCAAACAGGACGCGGTTTTTTTTTCGCGCCATACAGTATATACTGAACGGTCTAACTGAGAAAGAAATAAGGCAATCTATGGTCTGCAAACCGCGCACGCAGCTGTAGGATATGGCGCTGACCATGCCTAGTCACATGCTCATTTACGGTCTGCGTCTGTCCCTATCAAAAACCTGGGATCTACGCTTAGGCCGATACCTATCATCATCATCGGGTAAAAACTCGGTGGACATGGGCATCTCTCATTTGATGTGGTTTGGAAAGATATGCTGAATCCGCCCGTCCTGGTCCAGTTTTGTTGGTACAAGACAATCGTAACGAAGAACCCTTCCATTAAGTGCATCCTTACCCCCGAGGAACGTCTAAGTAGGACTCCATGGCTTCCTTTCCTGCAAGATAGGCCCGGGACAATCGCCTTCAAGTTAGTATTCCGGAAATATTGGAATGCCTTCGTATCCCGTCCCGTTCAGCTACCGACTGGCAGATATCGAGGAGTGCTGTCTATCAAAGGGGTTACACAGCCTTCAGATTCGGAACTTTTAACTTTGGTGCCCCTTGTCATCACCAGATTCACCTTCACCATTATCTTGTTTCTGGAAGTGGATTATAATTTTAACTGGGATCCTCTTGATATGAGTGACCTTCAGAGTACAATCACAAGTTTGAGGTATGCTCTGAATCAGAAATATGAGGTCCTGACCTCCATGGAAAAGGAGATCTCCTCAAAACTGACCAAGAAGCAATACATCAAAAGACAAATCTCTCGGTTGGGAACTGCAAATCTTAATAGCAGAAAGGGTTGTACTGTGGCCTGGCATTCTGACCCTTGCTTCTATGACCAACTGACCAATGTGTTGGAGAGGGAGGATCACCAGACTGCTCAATTCCCAGGGTTCAGCTCCAAGAAGGTGCCTTCTCTTCACTCTTCCATCTTTGGTGGGTTTAGACATCACTTGTCAGGCTGACTTCAAGATTCTCAACATATGTTTGTTGATCTTGTTTGGTCCAGGGTACTAGTCTCATTGAACGATAAGTTGTTGCATGGCTTTAGAATCGATGTCATCCGGCGCAAGCAGGAATTCGTCTGCATCTTCGTCCTCAACGGAGTCTTTGATTGAGGAAGCGCAATGTTACTTGCGATCTTGGTGGTCCCTTCCAGATTTGGCAGCTCCTTGGCCTGCTTCCTTTCCTGTGTCTGACAAGGTCTCTTCTTTCTCTGCACCTCCCTTTGCAAGTAAGCATTACCCTTCCTCTGAGTAGTAGGATACTGTTAACCTTTTGATCAGAGGAGCCCAAAGATTTGGGTCATTGTTGCCCCACAGCCTGTGGGACACGGGCCTGCAGGCTGCAAAATTAGAACTTGCATTGAATTTTTGGGTTGGAAATTGTTGAAATTGGGAATGGTTGGGATCAGTGCCAATTTTTTGGGAAGGTAGGTAGGTGCTGGTCAATAAATTCCCTGGCTATAGGAATATGCCTCATCCATAAGGTGAGTTAACCCCCCTATTTATGGTGCTGTTTATACTTGTGTCTTTCTTTCTCATATCTAGTGCTTCCAATTTTTTCATATCCAATATTGCTGCACTTATTGCATAGAAGAACTCTGTGGCCTATATGCAGTCAATGAGCCACACTTTGAGTGCCTTGCTGTAGGCCTACCAGGAAAGATTGAATTATCTGAAATAGGATAATGTTGAATTTGTTGGCAGAAGTGAGGAAAGGAGTACTGGGTCCTATAGTCCCATCACGTCCATCAAGGATGAAGCCTGGTGACCGGGCCAAAGTGTTTGGTCCCAAAGGAAGGATTCTCTATGGGATTGTGGATCATGTTCAATCTGATGGGCGACAGAATGGAGTCATGGTGGAGCTACGACTTGAGTCACCGTATGTTTCCTCTTTCCTTCCCAATTTCCACCTTGATTGGTCTTCCATTGGACTTATTTATTTCTGCATTGTACTAAATTCCTTAGACACCAGCTATGTATTTCTGTATTGCTATGACTGCCTCAAGAAAAGGCAATATCTTTCATGTAATGACTTTTTCACTTGACTTCGACAATGGTGCATGGTGAGGGTGATATAGCAGGTCAACGTAGAAACTAGGAGTTCCATTCTTAAGTACAGATGTTATGGTGACATTGGCAACATTGATGATGATTAATTTCCTGCTGAAGAGAGGAAAATCAATATGAACCTTCCCAAATACACAATATATTGAAATGATAATTTAATTTCGTAGTGAAAAACTAGGCTTTTGTGCCACACATTACTGTTTTCCTTAATGTTTCAATAAAACAGATGAAGTTTTGGGCATCGTTCCTGTGTTCTGAAATATCATTCCCCACACCAAACTCACGTAGGCTAGATTAGGCCTATCTAACGTGGATCTGAGATTGTCCATCAAAGTCCGATTCAGTGTTTCTACATCGTTGAGCCGATGAGAAATTGAAAACTTAGAGCCTTTTTTTTTAAATAGACTGCAAGGAAGGTCTCCCATTGACAACATGGCTATGCATGCAGTTCATTGTTTCCAGTACATAGTTTGATTCATATGAAAAAGCCTAAATATTCGAAAAAGAAGAGAAAGATGTCGTTAGTCACCAGGGGCACCTGCGCCCTTGCCTCCTCTCTGAATACCCATCACATTGGTGTCTTAGTCAAGTGAAAAATTGTCTAACTGAAGTGAAAAACACAGTAAATATAACTTTGATTGTCTTTGCAACATAATGGTCTATGGCAAGAAAAACCTTTTTCCATTTTTAGAATACTAATAGGTGGTATGTAGCCATTATTATCATGTTTATATGCAGGATGTAAATAGAATGGAGAACGAAAAGCAAATTGATAGGAATTCTTTCCTTTTTGCAAAGGCATATCGAAGAATAAATGGATTGATATTTAACTGCAGAGACTTGTAACCAATACCACATTTAACCTATCCTATATTCTTTACTAATCCTATGAAAACCCCTACCTGCCAGCAAGAAATTAGATCAACCAACTGTTCATGCATAGAACATTTTTTGAATGAGAGAAACTAGCAACTAAGGGAAAGGGGTTGATATGTCAAAACTGTGTCCTTCAGGCCTCTGTTCCTAAGAAAAAATGGAACTGTCAAACTTTTTTTAATCTTTTATTATTGAGGAATTTTGAGACCAAGCTAACTGGGAGATTGAGGGTGTGTGTATTTGGTGTTCTTTCAGGAACAATTACTGGGGTGATCGCATTGTGGTACCCTTTGACAAAGTCATCATGATCTGGCCTCTGTGATTTCTCCCATCCACTGTGTTTCTCATTGTAAAACCGTCCCCATGGAAGTAATTGTCCATTCCCTTCTCTCAACATGGAATGGATCTTGCTAATTTTGATTGGGTATTAACACTAGTAGAATTACCAGTAGATTTTCTCTCTGTTGTTATTGTCACTGTGAAGTTGGGACCAAGGTGAAAGCATAAATATCAGTTCAAGTAATTGCAGGATATAGTGCATTTCCCAGTTCCATCAGGTCATGTCCCTAATTTCACTCATGTCTTGAAACTTCAAATTCATCTGAATAGTATCCTTGTTTTTGTTCCTCTTGCTCATTGGGAAGATGCTGAGATTTTGTGATTGGAGAGAATGGCTTTATATCTTTTCCATATCTGAGTCTAGTCATTTATGAAGTTCATCTGCACAAAATGTTTGGCATTTCAATTATCTGTGTGATCTCATAATATCTCAGAGTCCATTGTTATTTATTCCAGATATGAATTATTTTGTAGTTTTGTAAGCAGGACATGTGTTGATTTCTTTTTTCACGAGTGAATTTGACTATTTATAGAGTGTTTTTGCTTGAAATGAAATTGTTGCATGTTTATGAGTTGCATTTAATGTCACAAGACCAACTTTTAAAGTGGAATAGAGCATCTCAGCTTCAATATATTAAACTGGAATTTAAGGATTCACAAAGTATCATAAGATTATTCCTTTATGATGTTATCATGATATTCATCATCATGTCATTGAGCTGGCATTTTTTGGGGGGGGGATTCCTATTCAAATTGACACTATCATTCACTATTGCTTTCCTTTGGTAAGTTATGTGATGTATATTGTATGAATTGTTCGGTACGTTTTTAAGCAAGGATGAGGACAGTGTTATGTACCCACTGTAGTACCAGTTGTGATTTTCAGGATCCACAACGTTTTGTGATGAGATTCACTGTGTGGAAACGTGTTCTTATGTTGATGCCATCTTTGAGAGTGAATACATTCAATACATTGTTGAAGACAAAGTTGTTTTCTTTTTCATTAAAGGACATATTCAGCAGCATAGTTAAATACTGAAGTAACCTGGTACTTTGCAAATCACATTTTTTTACTACAAGACGTCTTGTGCTTGTGGGGAACCATTCTTTGATTAACATTTGCCTCCTTTTGAATATTTCTGGATCTTTCAATGTTAGCACTTTCGGAGCGGTGCAAGGGATACTTAGGTCAAGACTCAGTTATATTTCTTTACATGCCTTTGCATCAGCGCCCATGAAAACACCATTTTCTTTCAATTTTTACTTTCTTATGGACGATCGCTAACTTTACGTATCCTCGAAACGGGCTCAAATTCATGTAGATCAGGATTCAGAACAATCTCCTGAATGTGTGGATAGACCTATTAAAAAGTCATGTCAAGTCGCGAAACGTCCATTGTCACCAACAACTCGTGTGTAACAATTTTCCATAGTTTTCATAGATGAGAGTCATTTGAGTGCCCTAAGCACTTAATCACATGGGATTTTCAATACAGTACTCAAAGTACACATTAGATGGCGTTCATGCTCCCCCGAGCATCCGAATCTAAGTCAGGACGCGCTGGACCTTAGGAGAAGCGTATTCTTCCATTTCCTGTCCTCTTATCGTGATAGTTATGAACTAATATTTGATGAAGGTATAATCATGTTTCAATGGCTATAAAAGATTCGGGAAAATTTTAACTGCTGGAATTTTGCATGAGGACAGAGAAATGTAAACTGGGAGCTTCGAAGTTTTTCCGCAAATACTGAAGAGAAGGAAGAGGGGAGGGGTAGGAGAAGGTTAAATCGAATACGGAACATGGATATCGGCCCTCAATCTGCAAACTCACTACGCCCTGACGCTGAACCTGAAGCGGTTTGTGGATCTTCACTTCCCTGCAGCCAGCATCTCTAATCCAGCCACATCACCGTATGCTGAACTGCCTTACCTCTCTGTGTATGTTGAAAAGGTCCATGAAGCTGAAGAAGAGATTGAAGATGTGCCAGCAACCCAAGGTAACCCTTCGCCTCTGTTTGTACCTGAGAATGTTAAATCATGGTGTAGGTCAACGTATGCTGCTGATGAATATGAGTACACCACTTATTGCTACTACGTTCCAAGTTGGACCTGTGCTCGAACAAGGGGCACTAGGTGGAAGCTGTGGAGCTGGAACAAGAAGGAATCTTCACATCTACCTTGTGCAAACAAGGAGGAGGTTGAGATCCATGTAAACATTGATGAGAAGGAAGAAATGGATACCTCGGCTAAGGGAGAAAGACTGCAATTCCCATCGCTCAAGACTCAACACCATGCTGCAAAAAAGAAGAATGAAGCTTCCAATGAGAAACACAAGGACAGGATCAAGAAGGAAACAACGAGGAGACGTGCACACTCCAACGGTCGCCCACGCCGCACTCTAGAGAGCTGTTCACCTGGTCGGCCGCCGAAGCCATGCCCGGAAAGTCCCCCGAATCAGTAGAAAACGTCACCTGATGCGGCAAAAGAAATGGAAGAGAGGAGGTTTTCTTGAGAGGGAGGACCTCTCCTTCTACCTCTACAGTCGCAGGAGAAGCACATCTCAAATGTGAACTGGAGAAAGAGGAAGAAGAAAAGAGGCGTCCGGATGAATTCTGCAAAGACCCACCTCTCCCTTCTCGCCAAAAGCCTTCAGGAAAAAGAGTGGAGCACACCCATATCAGTCGCCAACCTCACTTCATACAATTGACTAGTTGCCTCTTGAGAGGGGCTGAAAAATCATGTTGGGGCACTTGATACGGCCCTTACGGCCAGCTGGGCTCCTTTTGATTTCATATTCCCCTCTTGTTACATTGCATTGTATGTTTTTAGCAATAATAATATTAAAAAAACAAAGCAAAAAAACGCAAATACTTGCAAGCCGACAACTCTCATCAAGTGTGAAAGATTGTTTTATGATATGTTTCGAAGGCAACGTATTGTAGCCTTGATAACTGACTAGGGTACTGTTAGAAGCGTCTAGCACATTTTCTAGCGTCATCGATACCTTGCTGAGTGACCATGGTCACCGGCAACAAGATTATGTTAGGAGATCTTTAACATTTGTGAAAACTCGCTGAGTGTCAGAGACGTGATGCCGAATGGTGCAAAAGGCGCTCAGTGTTACCGAAGCTCACTTCAAAGCTCCTCAATTTGAAAAATTGAAGTTCATATGGAGATGTTCCCTATCCCCGTATGCCTGAGATCCCATCCGTAATTTTTTTTTTCCTACGATGACCGATGAATCAGCAAGTATTAATTCAGAGACTTTGTTCAAAGTTCTTTCAGATACCCCCCCGATTTACGTCTGAGAACGATGCTCATCGCATGAAGTCGTCGGTGGCCGTCAAGACGACAGGTTTTCTCATCCTTTCCCTTGCAGCCCTCACACCCCTAAGGATCTCCCCCCCCCCGATTTACGTCTGAGAACGAGGCTGGCGGAGTCCATTCACCATTCACTCCAACGAGACAGGAGTCCCCTCTCCATTTTCAAAATCCAATATCTTGGAATGAGTGCTTAGTAGTCTTACTTTTGTGGAACCAATTCGAATGAAATTTTGAAAGACTGTTCAGAACATTTCAATCTACGCACAATGAAATTTTCGTGAAAATGGCTCATGGCGGCTTGTCTCCTTTCCGATGGACACTAGCTTTTTCGGACGATACACGGCAGGTATCCAGTCGAGTTCGACAACGGCCGTTTCGATTTTGGCAATAATATCCACGCGGCCGAGTTTCCCTTTCGACTTCGGTCGACAGTAGGCCTACTTTCATTTTCGGCAGAGTTCCTTTCATTTTATACAGGTGGACACAAAGGGACGCGTGGCATCTGTGGGCAACTCTCGATGGCCGACGGTCACTTTTTTTCTCGCATGTGTTCTGTGCGAGAGCGCGAGAGAACTATTCTTCGTTAGGCCTGGCGACTTTCATCCGATCCCTTGTGATCTATAATGAGAAGCTAGAAAGGCCAGTGAGACGACCATCTGCTGCGGTCGAAGTGAAGTCGTCCTCCGACCGGACGGGTGGGAGATCCTTAGGGGTGTGAGGGCTGCAAGGGAAAGGATGAGAAAACCTGTCGTCTTGACGGCCACCGACGACTTCATGCGATGAGCAAAGAAATGAACACCGTTAACCTGTGCTGCCGTCTTTCGAGCAGCCGTGAGAACGAAAGCTTAGCCCGTTCTAGCCTCTGCCACGCTCGATCCCGCTTGTCATCCGCCCCCTCCCAACGAACTCATTCCAAGAAAAGGAAGAAGTAACTCAAAGCCACCAGATGATCGTACTGGCCGAGGAGAAAAACACTTTGGAACTCGCACGGAAACGCAGGATCCCGGTTTACCTGCACGAGGATTTACCCTTACGTGTTCGACTCGATTTGCAGGAGGGACCTGCATACGCAGGGCCGGATTAG